ATTGAGGATACCACCCCTCCCCCTGAAAAAATTTCTTCATATTTCCATATTTTCATCAAAAACTATAATTTATGCATTTGAACACATTTTCCATAACAAAAAATTTTACAAAATTGAGGATACCACCCTCCCCTGAAAATAATTTTCTTCATATTTCCATATTTTCATCAAAAACTATAATTTATGCATTTGAACACATTTTCCATAAAAAAATTTTACAAAATTGGGATACCACCCTCCCCTGAAAATGAATTTTTCATATTTCCATATTTTCATCAAAAACTATAATTTATGCATTTGAACACATTTTCCATAACAAAAAATTTACAAAATTGGGATACCACCCTCCCCTGAAAATGAATTTCTTCATATTTCCATATTTTCATCAAAAACTATAATTTATGCATTTGAACACATTTTCCATAAAAAAAAATTTTACAAAATTGGGATACCACCCTCCCCTGAAAATGAATTTCTTCATATTTCCATATTTTCATCAAAAACTATAATTTATGCATTTGAACACATTTTCCATAACAAAAAAAATTTACAAAATTGGGATACCACCCTCCCCTGAAAATGAATTTCTTCATATTTCCATATTTTCATCAAAAAACTATAATTTATGCATTTGAACACATTTTCCATAAAAAAAATTTTACAAAATTGGAATACCACCCCTCCCCTGAAAATGAATTTCTTCATATTTCCATATTTTCATCAAAAACTATAATTTATGCATTTGAACACATTTTCCATAACAAAAAAAATTTACAAAATTGGGATACCACCCTCCCCTGAAAATGAATTTCTTCATATTTCCATATTTTCATCAAAAACTATAATTTATGCATTTGAACACATTTTCCATAACAAAAAATTTTACAAAATTGGGATACCACCCTCCCCTGAAAATGAATTTCTTCATATTTCCATATTTTCATCAAAAACTATAATTTATGCATTTGAACACATTTTCCATAACAAAAAATTTACAAAATTGGGATACCACCCTCCCCTGAAAATGAATTTCTTCATATTTCCATATTTTCATCAAAAACTATAATTTATGCATTTGAACACATTTTCCATAACAAAAAATTTTACAAAATTGGGATACCACTCCCCTGAAAATGAATTTCTTCATATTTCCATATTTTCATCAAAAACTATAATTTATGCATTTGAACACATTTTCCATAACAAAAAATTTACAAAATTGGGATACCACCCTCCCCTGAAAATGAATTTCTTCATATTTCCATATTTTCATCAAAAAACTATAATTTATGCATTTGAACACATTTTCCATAACAAAAAAAATTTTACAAAATTGAGATACCACCTCCCCCTGAAAATGAATTTCTTCATATTTCCATATTTTCATCAAAAACTATAATTTATGCATTTGAACACATTTTCCATAACAAAAAATTTTACAAAATTGGGATACCACCCTCCCCTGAAAATGAATTTCTTCATATTTCCATATTTTCATCAAAAACTATAATTTATGCATTTGAACACATTTTCCATAACAAAAAATTTTACAAAATTGGGATACCACCCTCCCCTGAAAATAATTTCTTCATATTTCCATATTTTCATCAAAAACTATAATTTATGCATTTGAACACATTTTCCATAACAAAAAATTTTACAAAATTGGGATACCACCCCTCCCTGAAAATGAATTTCTTCATATTTCCATATTTTCATCAAAAACTATAATTTATGCATTTGAACACATTTTCCATAACAAAAAAAATTTTACAAAATTGGGATACCACCCCTCCCTGAAAATGAATTTCTTCATATTTCCATATTTTCATCAAAAAACTATAATTTATGCATTTGAACACATTTTCCATAAAAAAAAATTTACAAAATTGGATACCACCCCTCCTGAAAATGAATTTCTTCATATTTCCATATTTTCATCAAAAAACTATAATTTATGCATTTGAACACATTTTCCATAACAAAAAATTTACAAAATTGGGATACCACCCCTCCCCTGAAAATGAATTTCTTGATATTTCCATATTTTCATCAAAAACTATAATTTATGCATTTGAACACATTTTCCATAACAAAAAAATTTTACAAAATTGGATACCACCCTCCCCTGAAAATGAATTTCTTCATATTTCCATATTTTCATCAAAAACTATAATTTATGCATTTGAACACATTTTCCATAAAAAAAAATTTACAAAATTGGGATACCACCCTCCCCTGAAAATGAATTTCTTCATATTTCCATATTTTCATCAAAAACTATAATTTATGCATTTGAACACATTTTCCATAACAAAAAATTTACAAAATTGGGATACCACCCTCCCCTGAAATTGAATTTCTTCATATTTCCATATTTTCATCAAAAACTATAATTTATTTTTGAACACATTTTCCATAACAAAATTTTTACAAAATTGGGATACCACCCTCCCCTGAAAAATTTCTTCATATTTCCATATTTTCATCAAAAACTATAATTTATGCATTTGAACACATTTTCAACAAAAATAAGAAATTTTACAAAATTGTGAATTCACCCCTCCCCCTGAAAACGAATTTCTTCATATTTCCATATTTTCATCAAAAAACTATAATTTATGCATTTGAACACATTTTCCATAACAAAAAAAATTTTACAAATTTGGAATACCACCCCTCCTCCCCTGAAAATGAATTTCTTCATATTTCTATATTTTCAACAAGTGTCACAAGGCTCAATGACGATGACCAACCACTAGCCATACCTAACATGTTACCACCAGAGATCTTTCTTGGGTAGATCAAGGCTTTAGGAACTTCAGACAAGGGTTGCGTTGAGCTGAGAACTAAAAAAGAACAAATATGGATAGATGATGAAGTGGAGAACAAGAATAGACGTTAAAGAAGACACACTACGTATGCTCATTGGTGTTTCACAAGAGTATACATTACAGGATAACTATGGATCCAACTAGTCTAAATAACTACGTACATTTAAGCAATCCATCTTTCCCATGGTAAACACATGTGTCAAAAAAGTGATCAAATTACAAAATTCGTGCAATCAAATAGTCGGACATGGTATTGTATTTGTAGAAGAGCCAATAAAATAAAAAGATTCTCTTGAGGCATTTGTAAATATTAGTTTAGAAATACAGATCGACTAATTATAAAGGCAGAAGATGTAAGAGTGAATAAAAACCATTTCCCGTCAAATCAAAGGAAAGCCTGGATATGACATGCAATATGCAGATATAAAGTTGTAGAGAAAAATAAAAAACATTTTTAACGTTGTCACGAATATTACGAGTGCCGTAACAAAGTGTTGACGAGTTTCACATGCATTTGTAAAAACAAGCTTAAGTAGACAAAAAGCATGCCAAAAATATATAATGAAAAACTTGCTCAGCGCATGTACAAGCACCAATTTCAGAGCTCGCTCTGTCACAAATTAATTGAGAATCTGAGCATGCGTTGTCAACTCCACAAACTCTCCAAGCTCATGGTAACGACCAACTGGATGTACTAGTACCGATTTTGGAGTAATTAGCTCGCTCAGTCACACGTTTTAAGACAAATCATCTGCGCATGCGCAGTCTTATTGAGCATGCGCAATGAACTTGACCAGCTACTTAAGTTCGTGGTCATGGCAACGACCAACTGCATCTACTAGTACCAATTTTGAATTAAATAGCATGCTTAGTAACAATTTAATAGAGAAATCGTCTGCGCATGCACTCGAGCATGCGCAGTCCACTCGAGTAATTGTTCATAGTCATGACAACGACCAACTATATGTACTTGCACTACATTTGTGTCAATTAACTCACTTAGTCGCAAATTATCGAAGAAACTATCTGGGAATGCGCAGTAAGGATAACAATCATCCCACAACTTTCGTAGGCCTTTAAATTTTGATATATATATATAAAGCTAAAACTTCATATAGTAGATGTCAAGTAGCAGTGGAAGCTGGGTGCGATATAGTATGCAGTGGCTTAGGGGCCCTCACTTCGGTGGTGGCGACCGCACTCTCCCTGCGTACCGGTCTGATGGGCGGAAGCTTGCTATTGGCATCTCCCAAGTAGGATAGCGTGGAGGGGCCGAAATCTTCTACCGAAATGTTAACATGCGGCGTTCTCGTGCCTTGCGCTTAAGAAGGTATCGGGAAGCATGGACCGAAAACGGGGTTTTTTGCTTTCGAATTTTATCTTTTTGTTTTCTTCTCATAAAACAAACCAAGCAATGTTTCAATTAATTTCTTAGGACCCTGTCTTTTTCTGACACTTATAATTAAAGACAACCTTAAACAAGTTTTATACCAATTTTATCGGTTTGTATCTTTCTGATTTAACTCTCACATTTACTGTTTCTCATGTATCACGAGCAAACCATCCATATGTTTCATGGAAAACTAACAAGGATTATGTGGTTCCCTTAGTTAACATGCGACGCTCTAGTGCTCAACTATCTCGGGGTATCTGGAGGCATGGACCGAAAACGGGATTCTTTGGTTTTCAAAATTTATTTTTTTCTTTACAAGAATTGTTGTCATAAAAAAAACTAGAACGTCCAAGGATACTTCAAAGGTTCAAACAACTTTTGCCTTTTTGAACTATAACTTAAACAAACACTAAGCATGTTTATACGTTTTTTACTTATTACCTTTTACAACGTAACTTTCTCATAACTCTCTCGTGATGAACGAGAGCCTCCTTATACAATATGACTCTTTCATCATGAACGAACACATCCATGGGCTTCACGGAAAAAAGGGATTATGTACTTTGTTATAATAGTTTCTACAAAGATAACATTTATTAAGCTAAGAAATTTGAAAATAAATATATTTGAGTTATTAGGAAATAACAAGTCAAGAATTCATTGATCATACTCATTCCAATTGGTCTGGAACAACCATGACATTTATAATTTTGACCATCCACCCCTTTATTAAGGGCTATATTATTAATTTACGACAGTAACTTCATACGTCGTTCTTGCTGAACACCTTCAGGTGAAGTCGGATCATCAATAATCTGTTATATATAAAAACATAATTTATCTATAGAATTATAGCAAAGTTACGATGGACAGATGAGAGTTATTAACGCTATAAAACTTAAATTCATTTTTAGTTCGTATTATATTTGTGTCATCTGCTCCATCTCACTAATGTTACTTATATGAACTGGAATTCTCAGCAGAAGATCGCATGTTGATGTTGTGGGGCGACATTTACAATTTTCTTTGCAATCATGTACAAACGTTACGGAAAATTTTTTTGGAAAACCCAGAACTGGAATAGTCTTACATCCCGATAACCACTTCAGAAACGCTGATATGGATACGTCTACTGTTAAAAACATTTTAAACATTTAAGACTGAAAAATGAATAAACAAACTAATCAAGGTATCCATTTTTTGTTTTTATACCACAACTTCAGATTAGAAAACATCACTTCAATAAATTTTACGCGTTATTTGATACTTTCAAAAAAATTCCATCGTAAATACAATAATACAATTTGGCACCCAATTTACAACATATATATTCAAACTAACCTTCAGTATCTAGGGTTTGCACATAGTCGCAAAATATCTTGTACACGTCAACCTCCTTTTCCTTGTGAATCTGCGAACTGCTGAATGTTGGAATAATTTCATTGAGGAAAGTATCAGCAGAAAGTTTAAACGAATCGTTATAAGGATCGAACAATGGCTTCCACAACTCTGGATTTTCTATCATATAATTTATAAGACCACAACTGCTGAGGCCTTCAAGCAATTGCATAATTTGAGGAAGAACTGATGAAAAGTGGCCCATTACGCAAATTGACCTTTAAAATAGAAATAAATCTTAGACTTTATAAACCAGCAGCACAAGAATAGTTTTTAATCTCCATTAACTTTCAAAATGTACTTACTGAGCAATTTTGGAAACAGTATGCACTGTCTCTTTATGTGGTACACCAGTGTATCCAGCCTCTGATAGCATTTCAATCATATCATCGCTGACAAGTATCTCCCTCAACATTTCATCGTCACAAGCTTGCTTTATCTTTGAAAAGGAGAAGTGTAAAGTAATCATTACTGACATCAGAGAATATAATAAAAATAGACTTATTTCAAAATCATGCCACAGCAAGGAGTAATAATCAAGCATATGGTAATCTCCATCTTGTTGCAGCATACCTTTTTAACAGCTTTTTTGTACTTGGAGTCGGGCATTCCTTCTGTTGTGAGTGCCTGTTTGGTGATGTACTTGTAAACATCTGGACTTATAAAAGATGAAGCTGGTCCGCCTTGAAGTAATGACATCACCATGACCTCGCCAGCAAAACGAAAATCTCCATTCATGATGGCGACAGTTGAATTAATAGGTTTTCCATTATAGAACAGTCTTCTTTCCATATGCTCCAACATTTCTGATGAAAGAATTAACATCTAATCATATTTTTTCAATTGTCCCCATCCTATATTTAAACCAAACTTGTCAACATTGATTGATGCATGATAGACAAATTATGGGAAATAAGCTGCAAAGGGAATTGAAGTGTAGCAGAACAATATATTTATTTTAAATCAACAGGGTGCTCATATTAACCCTAGAAACATATGTCTTACAATATTAGTACCTGAAAAAAACTCTCTCTTTGGCCCCCCGTCATCAATTGCACACTCTCCAACAAACACTATCTTTACACTGTCAGTTGGTGACACTTTACCACTTGATCTATACTCAATGAAGTCACACCATATATTTTTCTGAACATTTAATCTTACTGCCTTTGGTGACAATGTTACAGCTTTAATATCCAATAACTTATCTTTCACATTTGTAGTGTTATCTTGGTTTATCACCACATAAGGATTTTCTTCGGGAATGTTCTTTTCACTATCCGTATTTTGAGATTGAAGTGCTCCCACCCATATGTCACAACATATATCTGCATGCTCTGCTATTTCATCTATTGAAAAGTATTGTTGACATGTTGGGCACTCACATTTGAGCTCCTTGCTACGTGATACATAGTTACTTGCACTTTGGGAGTTATATATGGGAGGTGTATTCATTGGGAGATTTGTAGCAATATGCAAGCTAGTTGATGGCTCACATGGACTTGAAGATGGACAAGGTGAGAGTTCAATTCCAATTGTATCATCAGTTTCTAAAAACATCTCATCAGAAAGATCTGCGATTGTCTCTGGTTCACTATCATCACAACTTCTTTTTAATTTTGAAATCTCTGTGTACATATATGCAGATTTTAGTGCAATGAAAAGTGTTAAGCGATTATAATTCTTCCCTATATCTTCCCTGTATTCGCTTAACACAAACTCTTTTTCAGTTCCCGGCAAATTTGTGATTTCCTTCCCGTTTACATTCAAAAGGACGTGCTCCAACTCGCCATGGATGTTATTGTCGTGGTTAGCATGTTTTCTAACTGCTTTTTCTAAGATTTCTCTCTTTTTCGCACTTGGCAAAACTTTTACAGGGAGAGTTTTACCCCGACATCTTTTCAAATTTCCGTCATTATCGACCTTCATGTAACCAATATTTATGCTTACTTCATGCTCCTTATCTTTTCCTTTACCAGAATTTGCTTTGAGTTTCTTGGTCTTTGGCTCGAGTCTGCTGCGCCTATCGCTTTCCTTCTGGCGCTTGAAATCGTAAAAACTTAACGTTTTAGGCGGCTGGGTTGTACCAGTAAGGGTACCGCTAGCACATAATACTGAGATCCCACTAGTTATAGAATTCGACGTAGAACATGTGTTTGCAGATTCTTCAAGTTTTTCGCGCATCGGTGCGAAGGAGTTGCCACATTTATAACAGTAATTCGCATTTTCCACACTTTCTATACCACAGTTTGAACAAAACATTTTTTGCTATCCATCAAGCAATATATTGAATATAATTTATAATAAGTCTGGTTTTCGTGGAACAAATTTAAACAAGCGCCATTTTGCAAAATATCACAACAATGTTTCCACTTCACAAAAATAATTTCCAGTATTTCATATTTTACTTGCGTTGTGATTATATTTACTTGTGTTGTGATTATATTTACTTGCGTTGTGATTATTTTACTTGCGTTGTGATTATATTTACTTGTGTTGTGACTATATTTAATTGTGTTGTGACTTTATTTACTTGCGTTGTGATTATTTTACTTGTGTTGTGATTTTATTTACTTGCGTTGTGACTTTATTTACTTGCGTTGTGATTATTTTACTTGTGTTGTGATTACATTTACTTGTGTTGTGACTTTTTGTGATGGCCCTTATGGGCCACCGTATTCCCTCCAGGTCTTCTAGAACTCAATGGGTTTGGTTTGACATGATCTAACAACGCCAGCGGTGAAATAATAGTCCAGTTCAATGGTCGGTCAGTGTACAGTCCTTCCTCCGCGAAGCTGGAGTGGCAAGAGATCAATCAAACCATGTCTATGACTTCATGACATTTGAACGAGAACGATTTTTCTTTGCATGTTTGATGCATGCGAGACTTTGCATACAGTGATATGTAGCTTAAAAAATGGCGTATTCTCTATTTAAAGTAAGGGTTACATAAAGAAGAGCGCCATGACCGCTCCAACGTCTGCGGGAGAACGGCTCATTGACTATTTCGTTGTTTGCGGACTTGACAATGTGTCCGGCTTGGAACCCGACCAGCTATTAGGTATGATACTTTACGACGGTTTTTCTCTAAAACGGTCGAAGTTAGAGTCATTTTAACACGTGTGTGTGTGTGATAATCTTATTTAACATTTGAAATGAGAATGCTACTTTGTAGTTATTGTATAGAAAACGTATCGCTGCCGACCAAAAATTGTCAACATGTTGAAATGTGCGACTTGAACAGCTGTGCACATAGATTGACGAGTTTACGTATTTCCGTATACAAATTCTTGTAATCAAAGTTCATTACAGTTTTGTTTAATGACTGACTAATCATTCGAGAGGTTTTTATTTCAATTTAAACTTACCCCTTCAAAGCAACAATTTATTGCGTTTTTGACACGCGATGTTTATCGTATCTTTTTACTTGCTTAGGCTAAGATTATGAATTCATGATAAAGATCGCGCTCTTTGATGCGACGTTTGCTCGCTGCGACTTCGTGCTGACATTCACAAATGCGCGAATGAAAGTCTTTTTTATACAATTTTTTGTTTACGAAGGGTTGTTAATTAACAAATGGTGTTTGTTGTTGGTTGCATGGATTGTGAAATTTGATGGTGATTTTTTGCATGTTGTGTCGATCTCATATTACTGTTGTTTCATTATTACCATTTGTAATATGTGAAGGTTGAAGATGTTAAGTTTACATTTTATGTATTCCAAGATTATTATGTGCAAGCTATTTATATCAGATTGTGTTCGGACAACAGCCAATTCAATTTCAAGATGCATTGGTTGCCAAGCACTCTTCACAGTTTGACAGCACGATGTTCCATATAATGGTTTAGGTAAAGGCTAAGGTTAGGGTTGGGAGCTATGGTCAAAGTTAGGCTTACAATTAAATTAGGGGTTGAATAGGGGCTGAGTTGTTTGGACCAAGTTATTGAATACAGTTGAATACAGTAATTGACTACTTTCAGGTTATTACAGTGGCTGTTTTGAGATCCAAGCTGTTGAAGTTATTGTAGTCATTGAAGTTGTTGTACTCATTTTTTAACATCTTATATGTAAAATATTATAACATTTAATTTCTCCTTCATACTTGATGTAGTTGCTTTGTTTAAAGCATATATGATTTTTGCCAATTTTTTGTGTTGACAGGTGTGGTTATTTGAGATTTTTTGTTTTGACAATTGGATGCATTAAGTATTCTCATTGGAAATTGACTGTTAAAATATTCTGACTGTTGGGACTCTTATTCATTTATTTGATGATACAAGTTTTGCCTACATAATTTAATTCAATTACCTTCATCATCATCATCATCATCAGCCGTTCACGCCACTGCTGGCAGATGGCCTCCACAACTTCTTCCACTCGATTCGGTCTTTAGCTCTCCTCATCCAGGTCTTTCCAGTTTCCTCTTGATCGTCTCTCCATCTTCTCTTTGGCTTTCCTCTTCCTCTGTTTCATTCCATTCCATTTGGCCCATCTGTTGCCATTCTTGCCACCCTGTTTTTCATTTCTTCTGTTTGGATGACATCTTTCACCTGGTTCTCTTCTCTTTACTTCTCCTGATCTTGTCTTCCTGATATTGTATGCTCCTTCCATGCTCCTCGCCATGTTTCGCCCATGTTTCTGCTCCGTATGTCATAGATGGTAAAATGACAGTGTCCATTATTTTCCTCTTCAAACTGTTTGGGATGTTCTTCTCCTTTAAAAGTGACTGTATTGCCCGAATCTTCTCCATCCGACATTGATTCTTTGATTGACCTCAACACTGATTTCATTTCTTGGTGTTAACATTTTTCCAAGGTATTTGTACTCCTCCACCTCCTCCAACTTCTCTCCGTCAACTGTGATCCCTCTTCTTTGCTTCCTCCTTGCGATGTCATTGCACATGATCTTGGTTTTTCTTATTCATTTTCATACCATCTTTCTTTCCTTCTTCATTCAGTTTCGTCAAAAGTTCTTGGAGATCTTCCTCTTTGTTTGCAAACAAGATGATGTCATCTGCGAATCTTAAGTTGTTCATTACTCTTTTTCCAATGGTATTCTTTTGAAGATCTCTTCAATGGCAGCAGTGAACATGATAGGTGACAGTGTATCTCCTTGGCGGACACCTTTCTTTATCTTGATCTTTTCGCTCAGCTTTTCTGTTCTTATTTGTGCTGTGCCTTCTCTGTATGTTTCCTTTATGCTGTTTATGATCTTTCCTGGTACTCCGTGTTTCGCAAGTGATTGGAATACTGGGGCATGCTTGATGGAATCGAATGCCTTTTCGTAATGTACAAATGCCATGAACAGTGGTTGTTGGTACTCGTTGGTTTTCTCGAGTATTTGTCCTGTAGCATGCAGGTGGTCTGCAGTGGAGAATCCTTTCCTGTATGCTGCTTGCTCCGGGGGTTGATGTTCATCCAGAGTGCCACTGATTCTGTTCTTGATGATTTTCATGAACAACTTGTAGATGTGGGATAGCAAACTGATGGGGCGGTAGTTTGCAAGATCTTTCTTGTCTCCCTTCTTGAAGAGTAGAATAATGATGGCGTTCTTCCACTCTTTTGGCACTTTTTCCGTCTCAATGGCTTTGTTGTAAAGATGCTGAAGTTTTTCCATTAGGATGTCACCTCCGGCCTTTATCATCTCTATCACCACAAGATCTTCACCGGGTGATTTTCCGTTTTTTCATCTGATGGATTGCCTTCTCCACTTCACATTTCATGATTACTGGAGTCTCTTCTGCTGGTCTCAACTGAATGTTTTGGGAGTGATCTTCGTACAGTGCCTGATAGAATTCTGCACATCTCTCGAGGATTCTTTTTCTGTCTGTTATTACCTTTCCATCCTTCTCCTTCAGTGCTTGAATCAGAGCCTTCTTTCCATCTCCTGTTGTGCTCTTTTTCAACCCTTTGCCACTTTCAACTGCTTCTCTGATTCTCTTGGTGTTTGCTTGTCTCAGATTTTGTCTTGTTTTCTTCCTGATTGTCTTGCACAGTTCAACATAACCTTTGCCGACTCCCGACTTAACACACATAATTTAATGTAAAGTACATATTATTATTACATCTAAAAACAATTATTTATTTGTTAAATCATTTTTATGCTAAATGAACTTTCCTTCTTTCCTCAACATTCTCCTGCAAGTCAAACAATGACATTAACATTGGTTGCTTTCATAGCTAGAAATGGGAAAAAATATGACCTGTTGGGCCCGGAAGAGTGAACTTTTTCTTCCCAATTCTTTTTTTGACTGATGTTTTATGTTTTTTTTAATAGTACTAGAAAGCAATAACTTAACAATTTTTATTTGAAGTAAAGGGCAACTCAACTGAGCAAGCCATATGCAGTGTCAACAATTTTGCTCAAACAGCTAAAAGATTTTCCATTTTGTGTTTCTTCATGTTGCAATATTGCAAAATGTCAAGAGTGTTTATATCCTTGCATTTCATAAATTCAAGTATTTCTTTGGTTTCTTTTGTAGGTGATTCACATCACGTTCCACCCTTGAAAGGTCTTATCGGGCAAAGACATTAGCTCATTATCCTGATCATGTCCCCTGGAATCCATTTGATGAACATGCAGTTTGCATGGTATGATTTATGCTTGGTTGGAAACAACCAATTTTTCATAAAAGAAACCTTGTTACTTTGCTGAAGGGGGACTGAGCTTGAGAAGCTGAGGGGTCTGAGCAAGGGAAGCATTTAGCCATTATATTGTTTATTTAAAACGAGACTCTGTTTTGTAAATTGTTGTGACTCTAGCAACATCTGTGTGTGTCATAAGGGAGAAAGTTTTCTTCAAACCTATGCGTCACGTGTGCATGCATTGTGAAATTTCACCACTTAAACTTAAGACTTTGTTATAAGTTTGAGCATTGATGTCAGAAAGCAGTAACATAACGAATCTGTAAGATTAGGAAGCCGTGATA